AAAACATGCATGTTATGTTTTCTAAGAATTGGGTTTTGTTTTGCGCAATTGGCAAGTCTTTGGGCTTTAATTTTGTAAAATGATTTAGAATTCACCATGTTTTATCCATTTACAAGTATTTCCTCAAGTTTCCTCAAGTTTTTGGCCCAAAAGACCATGATTTGTAGCTTTGAAATTGAGTTCTGCACTTGACAGATAAAAATTCCAGATTCTGCCTCCCTACTCGAGCGACGAATCCTGCGCTCGAGCGACCACTCTATGTTTTGTATCTCTGCTTGAGCGACCAAAGGTTAGCTCGAGCGTAAAATCTTTGCTCACAGAAGTTTACATGTTTGTAGATCGCTCGAGCGAGCGTCGAGCGGAAAAATTGAGCAATAAGTACTTTTGCAAAGTTTATAGACTGCTTGAATGACTCCTCACATTTTTTATGTCCACTCGAGGGAAGGAAGTTGCGCTCGAGCAAGACCCCTGTTTTTAGCAAGTTTTGTTAAAAATGTTCAAATATATTTTGGCATCCACATTGCATCCTATGCATTTCTAGGCCATGTTCAAGACTCAATAGGAGGTTAAAACTTAGAATCAAGACTCAGTAGGAGGTTAAAACTTAGAATCAAGACTCAGTAGGAGGTTAAAACTTCGAAATACACTAAGAATAAAACGAAAGAAGTAAAGTACCAACCGAGTGTGTGTTTCATTATGTGTTTCTGCTATGTGTGTGTAGGTCACGCGCCACAAGTTATCTGATTTGTCTGTTCTGCAAGTGAAACCATCTGTGAGTAATAACGTTGTAAAGCTATGTTTACGTTTAAGTAATTTCGTATATGATATGATATGCCAAGAAACGTTCTGATTTATGAAATGTTATATTCTATCCAATGAACGATTGTCCAATTTTTGACAAGTATTCGTGGCATCCTTAGCACAAGGCCCTTGTCCGGGGGTAATAATATCGTGGTTGATAAGCAAGTCCCTTGCTTGGGGGTAACAATACCGTGGCTCAAGTATATTACAAGTTCCTGGTTCCAGAGGTTCTTTATGGAACTGAAAAGCATGAAAACGCTATTGGATGTACCATGTATGATGAAACATGAACTTTAAGTTCCGTATGAAGTTGAACAAGAAAATGAATATATATCTGTTTTTGATATGAATTTCTAATTTCCGAATCTGTTATGGATATCATTCATTTAAACCCTTTACTCTGTTATTATTCGTTGGGCTTCCGCTCACTCTGTTATATTATGTATGTAGGTGAGTAGGTGTATGACCAGGCTTAAGCTGCTGCCTGGAGTGTTTTGAGTTAGCCAATTACTATGTCTTCCAGGGAGGTTCATTTTTGAGAAGTCAAGTTCTGTGAACTTCGTGAAGATGTTTTTGTTGGTTGTCTTGCTATCTGTACACTGGGCTAAGTCTCTCATGACATTATATGTAAAATGATATAAGTCTTGTGGATGTTTGACATTATATAAGTTTAAAAGTTTTCTGTCTCATGCATGTCTACATAGCTCAATGGATATTATATATTTTTTATATTTGATTCCGCAGCCGCTTATTATATGTCATTCTGTTAAGAGGCCTTTGGTAATTCAAGGATTACTGGCCGGTTACGACGCTAAACTTATAGGGGTGGGTTTGGGTCGTGACATAAAGATGGTCAATAAATAAGGAAAAGAAGCTAGGAATAATACCTCTTGAAGAGGGATGACCCTTTGAGTTACAAACCACCAATTTCACACTCTTAAGAGCTAATATTCAAGCTCAATAACCTTAGCCAAGAACTTAAGAAGCTTGGTTTAAGAAGCTTAGGTAAGGTATGTATCGATGTGTATAGGTTGCAAGAAAAAGAGAGAGAGATTTTTTTCAAGAATTTTGCTTGACCAAAATTTTTCTAACCTAATTTTATGAGAGGGGGTCAAGCATATATAGAAAAACATGTTATGCTCTCGGAAATATCAATACAGAAATAGCTGGTGCAATGTATACACCTGTGGAGATAGTTGGCATAGCTGGCAAAAATATTTGACTTTTTTGACATAAGTGGCCAATCGGCCACTAAGGGGATGGCCGTACACTCATTTGTGGCTAGCTGGCCACCAAGTGGCCTGTAGGCCCCTGGATGGTCAGGCTTGGAAAACTGTTGTTTTGGTAAAAACATGGTGCAAGGTTTGTAGGTTTCTGAGGCTCAAAATCGGAGTTTTCTATTGAGGAAATCAAGTATTTGACCAGCGTAAAAATTAATCATTGAGTGATCCATCGGTGGCGTCCAAGTCTTAAGGGCGGTCAAAAATTGAGTGTCCACAAGGGGTGTATCACATGCTGCTCTAATTATGCATTTTTTTTGTTGTTGTAATTATGACTAACTTTTTTTTAGTTATAACTAATGAGATTTTTAATTATATTTTATATAAAGTTTTATTGTTACTTTTTTTATATATATAATGATTCAAAAAATAAAAATTATATCATCTTATTATTTAATTATAAGATGCATAAGGCCTCGTTTGAGAACAGGCTAATTTAGTAACTTTTTGGCTAATTGGCTAAAAAGGTAAGTAAAAAAAACTTGTATGTTTGTGATGACTTTTTGACTAATTACGAAAACTGTGTAAAAAGTAGAGAGAAGCCGTAATTGTTGACTTTTTGGTATGACTAATTGGCTAATTGGCTAATTTAATAATTTTTTGACTAATTGGCTAAAAAGGTAGCATCCCAAACAAGGCCTAAGTTACAAACATTTTAAAGCATATATCATATATATATATATTTAAAAAAATTATATTTTATCAATTTAACAATATCAAGTGGCACATGCCACTTAGGTTTTATTTTTAGGAACCATAGAAATAGTCAATTTTTTTATAAAAAAAAAATTTGGTAAAATATAATCAGAAAGTTAGTATTATAAATTATTATAGGACTCTGTCTATTTTTTTATGTCTATTTTCAAAAAAATAAAAAAAAACATAATATTAGAGACCCACGTACTTGACCTATAAATTAACAGACATTAATATGTCAAGAGAATTGAACCTTAGGTAGCATTTGGTAACGTTTACATTTTTTATTTATGTTTATAAAAATTTTATAAACATATTTTTGTTTATTTTTAGAAAAATATAAACAACAAACGCGTTTGGTTTGGACAAAATGTTTGAAAAAATTTAAAAATATAAACTAAAAAATATGTTTGTTTAGGCTTAAAATATTTATATTTATTTTTTTATTATTTATGACAATGGAATTAGGGTGATGCACCAATAAATCCCAAATTAACAACTTATACACTGTTTAGTCCTAAAATTTTTTTATAGACTGAAAAGTCCTATTATACGGAAATTGACCATAGAGGGCATATACATCAAACATCATCATCATCAAAACAACATCATCGTTATCAAAATAACATCAAACATCATCATCAAAACAACATCAAACATCACAACATCATCATCAAACAACATCAAACATCATCATCAAAACAACATGAAACATCACAAGCATCATAATCAAAACAACATCAAACATCACAACATCATCATCAAACATCATCATCATCAACATTAAACGTCATCACATCATCCACAACACAACAACACATCATCAAACATCACAACAACATCATTGGATATAATATTAATACACTAATTAATGGATATAATACCACTCTTCAGCCATTGGATTGAATCTATCAAAATGTTCATACACAATCATTTCTCATTAAACCTAATTCACACCCTCAATCCATCTCATTTCATTCATTGTTTGTTGCTCTTCACCTCCCTGATCGGTGTCACTAGCCTTGCTGCCACCGCGCCACCCGCTCTTCGCTCGTCGCCGGTGCTGCTCTTCACTTGTGGTACGTAGCTCTCTCTCTCTGTTTGTTTTTTGTCTTTGCTCTATCTCCATTCCTTAATGCACCACAGATTTCTCTTTCTATTGGCTCCATTTCTTAGGGTTAGAAACAACGCCGAAAGCTTTGTAGTTGTCGAGAACACTGATCCAGTACCACTGCCGTGAGATCGTGAGCTCTCTGCCTTCGTGGTTCGCAATCGTCTGCAACGTTTGTTGGGAAAATGCCGATCTTAATGTTGGCGATGATGTTGATGTTCGTTGGATCTTAATGTTTTGTTGTGATGTTAATGTTGATGATGATGTTTGATAATGTTGATGTTGGCGATGATGTTTGATGTTCGTTGGATCTTAATGTTTGATGAATAATGATTATCAATGTTTGATGAATAATGTTGATAAATAGGTCTTAACATTCAAATGGGTATATATGTTGGTGATGTTCGATCCTTGTTTGATGACTAATATTGGTGCTGATGATGATTATTAAATAAACAACATTACCAAAATAAAATGGGACTAAATGGTGCATAACAAAACTTTTAGGACAAAATGGTTCAATTTTTCAGAAAATAGGATTTATGGGTAAATTTTCCATGGAATTATTCACATTATAATTGAAAAAAAAATTAATTGAAAGAAAAATTATTTGAAAAAAAATTAATAAAAAAAAATTTTGTTAGTAAAATTTTCAAATTTATGTTTTAAAACCAACGTGAACTTATTTTTTAAGTTTATGTTTTTTCTTCAAATTTACAAAAACTGAGACAACTATTTATAAACTAAAAAAATTATCAAATAAGTTTTTATAATAAATTTTAAATTATTTATAAATATAAATTGAAAATTAAAAATGAAATAGTTACCGAATAGATTCTTAATAATAAAATATATAACAAATTAAAAATTAACGTTCATAAAATTTTATTAAAAATATCGAACATTTTTCAATTAAAATTGTAAATTATCAAATAGGCTACTACGGGTTGATTTGGGATGTTTTAAAAAAAGTATACTTTTTGACTTATTGGCTTATATGGGTTGGGTTTGATGTGATGTGTTAGAAAATTGATGTGATTTAAATAAGATGATATGACTTAAATAAGATAATGACTTTTTGACTTTTTATATTATTTAGGTGATGCCAAACTTGGCCCTAGGTTAAATGGAAAAAGAAGACCAAAGATTTGAGTAGAAACCAAAGGTCCAGGTTTCAAAAGAAATCAGATTAGGGTTTTGTAGATGATGCTAATCCCTATCTTTGATATAATCTAGCCCCAGGATCCAATCTTTACATTAGGTGACGATTGTGGTGACGTTCTTGCGGTGCATGCGATGGAGATCGGGAAGCTAAACTACTTGACATATGTTTGGTGGTGTATTCCGTAGAGTCGGAGAATAGATTCGGTGATCGATGTGGTGACGTTCCTGCCTGTATGCGCTTGAGATCCAGATGATGCCGGTGTATTATGTAGAATTGGATTTCTTCATATATTGGGAAGTAAGTGTTAATTTAGATTTTATTGTGTTTTATCCATTGAATGGCGATGTATCCCTAACAATTTTGTGGGGGTTGCCAATGGATGTAAATTTATTTTTGATCTAGTTTTTTTATTTGCGTTGAATTGTGTTTGGATCATGAATTTGAGTATGGATATACGGAGAGAAATGAAATGAGAAGGAAAAATTGTAAAAAAATGTAGGATTTGTTTGGTTTGTATTTCAAGATATAATTTTTGAGAAAAATTTTTAGATTTTAAAATCACTTTCTCTTGGACGTATTAATTAATCACTTTTTCTCTCTCTTCTCTCATTCTCAATATTTTTTCTCTTGCACATATCTCCTCAATTACAACAAAATATCAAATCATTCTAAGCTCTCAAATTTCAAAATTATTTTCAAAATATACAATGAAACAAATCCAAAAAATTTCTAAACTCTCTCCTCAAAATTTTTACCAAAAATTTATCTCAAAATACAAATTAAAAGTTTATCTCAAAATACAAACCAAACACACTCGGAAACTAATTTTTTGTTATTTTTCCTTTATCTCTTTCGATCCTTATCCAAATTTACGATCTAAACACAACATAAGTCTTGATGGGTTGGAATTTATATTTTAGTATGTCCTCCCAAAAAAATTGATATCTATATTATTGAGGAGAGAGGTTGATTATTTACGCTCCATTGTTTGGGCGGAAATGTTTTTTGTATTTTCTAGTGTTTAGTGTAATAGAAAATGAAAGTCAACCAAAAATATTTTTTATAATTAACAAAAATAAGCCTATATGGACAAAAAATATTTTCTACTTTTAAAAGTTAGAAAACGTTTTCCGCACTAAAATCTTACCAATGTCACCATATTATCACCGCCACTTTCACCTCCACCAACCACACCACGATCACCGCAGTCCCCACCACCATCAACGTCACTATCACCGCCCCACCACCATGTCACCACCTACCCCTCCACCTTCGTTTCACCACCACCACAACCAAACATAGAAAAATATTTTCACCAAAAAACATTTTTTGAAATTTTTTTCGATAAAAAATGTTTTCTGTCCAAACAAACAGAGCAGTAGATATAGATCCATCCTCAATGTGAGGTGCAATTGATTTGTTTTGTTTATTTTGCTTGCCTAACTAGTCGCATTTTCAATTTGAACAATTTGATTCCTATATTTTTAATTTTGTTATAATATGGTACCTCTATACGATTACACCCATCGTCCTTGTAGTTTGTTTTGAATCCCATCTCTATAGGATTACACCCATCATCCCTATAGTTTGTTACATTTTAGAGGGACTAAAGTGTAATTCAAAACAAACTATAGGATTACACCCATCGTCCATATAGTTTGTTTTGAATTCCACTTTAATCCTTTTAATTTTGCATGTAATTTTTTTCATTCAAAATGCTAGCGACAATAAAATTGAAACCGTGTGTTAGATCATTTCCAATTATTCACCAAAATTTTCATCTAATTTGATTCCAAATCTGAGTAAAAAGTTTGATTTGATATCAACTACTCCAATCCTCTCATCAAAGTTTTATCAAAAATCTTTTAAAAAATTACTTTTTCATCCTAAATTTCACTTTTCATCAATATTGGTGAAAAAAATCGAGCTCCAATTCATCTTGTAATAATTTCATCAAACAAGTGGAAAAAGGGTTGTTGGAAATATGGTGAAAGATTTGGTTCATTTTTGATTTGATGAAAAATTTGCTTCTCCCTTGAGTTAATACAAGTTTGTTGAAAGGATTGGACCTCATTTTCACCAAAATTTTCATCAAATTTAAATTTGATGAAGGATTTGAGATGTTCTTACGTGGACTAAAGTGAAACTTCACTTAAACTTGAGAGACCATAAATTACCCTTGTTCTTTTACATTGGAGGTTGTACCGTGGGACGAAGAGTCTTATCTATGGCAAGTTGAACCCTTCACCTTCATTTGAGGTGCAATTTGATGGACTAGATCTTGCCTATACTCGTTTAGAGGGTTGGAGCTCTTTTATCATAATCTTACAATTCGCGATTCGATTCATAATGTATACAACATTTATATGATTCTATTTTGGAAGTGAATCTATAATGAATTGCACAATTCACGATTCGATTCAATTTGTACGGTTCATGTAGTTTTTGAAACTATTGTGGCCGACATATGTCGATTATTTTTTCCCCCATCTTTTTAATAAAAGTGTTTAGTATGAAAATAACCAATATATATGATTTCATATTATTTTGGTGATCGGTGAACTTTTAATAGAATCCAATTAGATTAAGTTACCCATTATTGTCAAATCGCCAATCAAATAGTGAATCGTTTTGCTAAAATAGTGAATTATGAATCGTAAGATTCATTTTATTTAATATGATATATTATTTTATATATACATATAAAAATATATACCGTGTTTAAAATAAAGTAAATTATCAACATAACTAAATTATATATATGTATATACATATAAAATCATGTATAGCAATATAACGAATTATTTTATATATATTCATAGTTTGGCGAAAACGATGTTTTTCATGCATTCTGTAAACAAAAATAGAAATAGAACTTAATCGCAGTGAATCGTGTGAGTCGTAGTGAATCACAATGAATCGTTAATTGAATCGTATGATTCACTCAATTTTTGATTCAATAGCACGATTTGAAACATTTTTGTTAAAACTCATATCGAATCATTAAAATAAACTTAGTTTAATATTATATTGGTGAGGTCAATTAAACCTAGTGGTTCCACAAGTTATTTATTTATTTTTTGAACAAGCATATATACCTTTTAAAATAAAGGATTCCAAGTAATTCTTTCTTGTTATTGAGTCATTGTTACTTAGAAAGGTATGTATGCTTAGTTTCCAAATTGTTAAGTTATTATTACTTGGAACTTGAAAGTTTGTCTTTGTTTACTTTATTTATTAAGAATAGTTGATAAGAAATATCTAAAAAAGGAGAACATAAGGTGATGATCTTACATGAAAACTTGTGTTAACTTCTTAATTATTAGCTCACGTCATCATCAGTCAAAACAACATTTTCATTGATTTGAGTCTAAATATTTCATACTTATAAGATATATGTATATTTAATATCTAAGTGTGTAAATATATTAGAAAAAGTGACCGAATCTTTATGATTAACTATTCGATTTGATTCTCGCTTTGGTACAAGGCCATTTCAATTCACTATTCGAGTCTTGATTTGACAACTACGGGTTAGAGTTTGAATGGGATTTGAAACCACAAGGGGGTTCTCTTCTTGTAATTTAACCATCGAGATTGGTCCGAGTTGAAACCACAAGAAAGTAAAGTAAAATTTGCCCCTTTTTATTTTTTATATAGGTAGTAAAATACTTTTTTCTTGACTAATCAGAAAATTTCATAATCAATAAAATCTTATTAAAGAATTTCGTTAACCAAGACACCCCTTCCTTACCTAAGCATTTTAAGCCTCGATACTATACGGATACAATATGGTCATGATGCCTCATCAGATGCCATCTTCGTTAATGCAAATTTCACCTCTATCTCCCTTAGTTGATAAAACTTATATTCTCTAGTTCCAGCTTTTTTAGCCAATCTTTTTCTCTTTTTTTTTCGAGTTGAAACAAAGTGAAATTTGTCCCTTTTTATTTTTTTATATAGGTACTAAAATACTTTCTTCTTGACTATTCAGAAAAATTCATAATCAATAAAATCTTATTAAAGAATTTCGTTAACCAAGACACTCCTTCCTTACCTAAGCATTTTAAGCCTTGATACTATAGGGATACAATATGGTCATAATGCCTTATCAGATTCCATCTTCGTTAATGCAAATTTCACCTCAATCTCCCTTAGTTGATAAAACTTATATTCTCTAGTTCCAGCTTTTTAGCCAATGAATTTAGCCAATGTTCCCCCTCCCCTTTCTTCAAATTTCATAAGGAACTATTAATTTAAAAGCCCATGGAAAATCTTCTTTCAATTTTTGGAAATAAATCAGAAAACTGATTGTTTTTAATATTTTTTCGTCATCCAAACATAGCCCATTTAAATGATTAATACATGAATATGTTCTAATTAGTAATTATTAGTATATGATACGAGAAGTGTGTCCAAAATCATCTGAAAATGTTTTATACTTATGAGTTGAAGATGATATTGAATTCCATTGGCGAGTATAAAGAATTGCTGGTTATTGAGTTGAAGATGATATTCAATTCCATTGACAAGTATAAATTACTTGCATTTAGGAAAAGGAGTGAATTGTTGTGTTGGTCTTCATTTAACTGATTACTGTTATATTCTTGAATCATAGTCCATTGAATTCCTTTTTGCGATGTTGCTTTTAAAAGCTGATGATACCTATGGTGCAGTTTATAGTCTGATGAAACATCATGGACAAGCAAGATCTGCTGCCTTTTAAAGTTGGACAATTGGCTGAGTCAATATCTTTCCTGCCAGGGTACCGTGGTGCATGGTTCCGATGCAAGGTATCATTGAGCACTACATTTAGATTTGATGCTCTTTTTATAACCTTCTATTGATGTAGACATGTCCCGAACATTTAAGTATATTGTGTAGTACATAATGTTATGGCATAAGATGTTTTTATGTGACAATGTACTGGAAATTAAGTGAGATTTAGGGGACTAAGGGAATTTATCTCTCCCACTTGGGTGAGATAACAATTATTTATAGTTTATTATCAAATGTAAGCTGCTGCTGCTTCTTCTTCCAAATATCTAATTTGGTTATGGGGTTGGACGCTCCCACACCCTTGTCCTTGTCACATAGTGTGGACACAGGTACACTAGGGAGAATTGAAGGGTCCATGTAACATTGACCAGAGTTATATCTTGGCTTGTATTTAGAATTTGGAGAAACCTCATCCTTTCTTCCGTTGATCTTTGAGTGGAAGAGTTTTATGTGCACTTACACCATATCTATATATTCTTTCAGATAAAAGAAATTAGGTGCAGCAGAGGGGAGTATTCCTTGGAATATTTTGATTTTCCTGATGAAAGTAAGTAACATCTGTTTTTGTATAAATTTTTAGGAGCTCGAGTTGCTCCTCAAGAATTGATGATGTGTATTTTCTTAGCTTATCCATGATATAGCTTTAGCCATTCAAAATTGTACTGTGATCTTTCCATTCGCCTTCATGTTCAATGACCAAATAATTAGTGTTTTCTTGAAATTGTGTTTTTCTACAGTTGTATCTCTGTAATCATGTTACAAATACAACTATTGAGTGTTATGGAGTCAACATTTCATTGGAATAAAATTGCAAATAATGAATAGTTGTACGTTTGTGTGGTTGTATCTCTGTATTCATGTTGCACCTATTAAGTGGTATAGTAGTGAACATCACTGATATAAAATTACAATTTTTATAGTTGAATCTGGAGTTATATTTTTTAAATTTTACTTAATTTATCTTCTTTTGACAAAGTCGGCTATAGTGCACAGAAGTATGAGCAGATGGATTACATCTTTGTTAACGCTTTCGCACAAAAATAAATATATAGCTTATCAATATAATAAAACTCATAATCTGTAGAACTAACAAGTCATAATACAGCACCTACGTCATACATGTTATGCATTTAATGAACAGAATAAGTAGCACCTTTTTTTAATTTAATTTATTTTAAATACATATATATACTTTTTATGACTCCCTTAATATAATTTAATCAAATAGATGATGGATTTAAGTTGCTGTGAAGTTTCATGGTTATGCAACTGCGAAGCAGTATTGAGCATATTTGAATAAAATTTCAGCAGCCTTCATTAATCTACATTTTTAGCATTTGGTACATGTCATAAAACAAACAGAAGAGTTTATGAAGGGTGAATGGGATGCAACTGAAGTTTAAGTCAGTATAGTCTACCCCGAGGTTTATATCTTTACATTTAAAAGGTGCCATCAGCTTTCTTTGTTTTTGAACTGAAGTCCTAGAAGAGTTCTTGTAGTTAAGGTTTTTATTCATTTTCCACAAATATGAAAGTATATCTTAATTAGTAGTTGAATCGCACATCTGCAGAAATCAAGTCGACCAGAATATACCAAGTGCCTCCAACGAGTAGGAGGCCAAAGGAGAAGAATATACCAAGGCAGCTGATGGTGCGTCCAGGGTATCCTCCTATCTATCTTGAAAGTCAAATGCCTCATGGTAATGCAATTTCTGAAGTAACAGTTGTTATCAGTGGTGTCTGGAAGGTGGGGGATTTGGTAGATTGGTTTACTGATGGTTGTTATTGGTCTGGAAGAGTGACTCAAATATTGGACAACGACAAGGTTGAGGTAATATTTTTTTCGTCTTTGTCACTCCTTCACAATTATCAAATTACCTAGTTTGACTTTGTTGTGTTATTAATGCCTGTAACCATGTAGATGTGGTGTTTAACAATGATTTAAAGATTCCATGATGTCTGGAAAAAGTTTCTATCAGTTAAGCAAAGGAGGCCACCTTTTTTGTTTTTGTTTTTTTTTTTTTTTTGAGCATCAACAAAGAAATTTATTAATAATAAAAAGAAAGAAGGGGAGAGGACAAGAAGTCCTCAAACAAAGAAAAGGACAAAGAAAAGGAAAACAGTCATAACAGTCAAAACAAAAAGCACAAAATCCTAGCACTGAAAATGGCAAACAGCAGCCCGATCCCTAGAGATCAAGAAAAATGGAACTCCTTTAAAAGGAGGCGGCACAAATGCCCAAAAGGACGCCAAATATCCCGCCCTATCCCACAACGCCTCTGCAAATACATGACCAAATGAGCTTGCCTGTATGGCCCGACCCTCCTATGATGTTCTCCATCCCTTAATTCTAGAGGCTATGGATCTCCATTACCGGAAACCTCATTGCTCTCTCACTCTCTGAGACCATTTGTGCTCTCACTGAGTTGATACAGGTGAGTCAACACCATTTCAATGACTGCCTTATTTCCTCGAAGCCTCCCTTCACTAGTCTACTGAGACTCCATCTCCACACTGAAATAACTGTGATTTGATGGTGGTGATGGTCTTGGACAATGTGGTTATGAGATGTGCACATAAACAATCCCTGGCCTGTAGCTGCAGCTGCTCACAGACTAATTGTCATGGAGAATTAAGCTTTGGACAACAAATATTTATAAATGAATTTTTCTCCATTGAACATTTTCTATTGATCAAATGATATTCTGGATTTTGTTAATGCTTTTGTGACATCATATACATGTTGATAGATTTGTTCATGTTTTGTTCATATATATTCTATTTTTATTTTCTTTCTCTAGATTGAGTTGCCTCCACCTCCAGTCGGTGAAGGTAAAGCTTATAAAGTTTTCTGCAAAGATCTGCGGCCATCCTTAGATTGGTCTCCAGAAGAAGGTTGGAGTGTTCCTACTTCTAAGGTGCCTCCCTCTGCTCATCCATCTGTATATTTGTATCTAGCTGTTTTTTTTTCCCTTTTCTTTTATCCCTCAGGTTTTTTTTTTTTTGGTGGCTAATCTGATATTCTGTTATTCGCGCAAATTCCTATGATCACTATCTTCTCTTTCCTAAAATCAATCTATATGGATATGTATACTCATTGAAGGAAGGGCATAAAACAGTACTAATAATTCTCCTGCAGCTTAATGTTAGGTATTGGTGTTTGACACGACAGATTAAAACTTCTCATTGTTTTTTGTTATTGGCAGAGTGTATTTTTTTACTCTGTATCTGGTTTTAAAATATTTTATACTCATTCCTGTCAGGAGCAAGCAGAAGTTAATAACTTACATTCAATACCATTTTGTTATATCATGTAATGTACTTCAAATTGTTGTAAAACCCCAAAACATATATTTTTTCCCATTGATTTGTAATAATTTGACCTGAATGCCACTGATTTGTAATTTTTCTCAATAATCAACTAAAGATATAAATGTTTCCCTCTCTCTCTCTCTCTCTCTTACTTTATTTTTTTAAATAGGTTAGTTAAGGAGACTGGAACCTGTGTCTGTTTATCAGGGGAATGTGACCCAAGTCAATGGGGTGTCCCCTTGGTGGCATTAATGTTTCCTCTTTTGTTACTTGTTTATTATGAATGGCTCTTTTATCCAGCTTTCCAATTTAAGATGCCAAACTATTTTGTAAACTGTTTGTTCTTAGGAAGAAGTCTTCAAAGGATTTTAAGCATTGGGCGGATTTTCAATATGTTATTTTACAAATAAAAATTTTTTTTTTGCTCTGTTTCAATTGTTGCTGATAACTCTTTATGTTGGATCCAGTGATTGCTGATCCAAACCTAAATATTTGACCTATTTATTGTTTTCATTTATATATTTCTATGTTCATCTGATATGTAAGTTAGATGCTCCGTCGTTCTTAAAATCTGGAAGCCATATCGTCAGTCATAAATGCTGATTTTGTCCCATCATTACTCATCTGCTTGCATTTGCATGGTACAGGAAGGAGAAAACTGTCACTGTGCTCGACTAATTAAACCAGTGAATCAAGGTAAGAGCTGCAGCAGGCTGAACATTTGTGGCTTAGTGTTTGAGGAAATTTTCAAGTTACGTTTTTGTTCAATAGGAATTCAGGTTCCTTCTTGAATGAATGCAATTGCAGACGTTTCAGTGCATTTTGTCCTTGGTGCTAATTTTATTCAATCACATGAATTCATATGATAGGATCAACTGCTTGTGGCACATTGTGTGTTTAGAAATATTCATGGATTGGGAGCAAGGAAAGTTGTTAACACTAAATAGGTCATCTAATTGTTTAAATTGTGTTTGAAATCTAGTTAATTTTACAGTCTAGGGCATCTTTTTGTATTTTGTAGCCGCAGTAGACAAGGGACATAGTAACTGGATACTCTTGATAACTCCCACTGGATGCACTTTCTTGTGCTTTGGAGATTTGGTGATAACTGAGAGTTATCATATTATTACTTTGTGAAAATTATAATGAGTTTCTAAATTGTTCTGCATACATGGAAGGATCTATTACTTGGTCTCGTAAGTGGATGCATGAAAGTGGAAATAGACTGTTTTTTCATATAATGAATGTTTATATATTTTACTTGGTGGTCAAAGTCAATGATATAGTAGGTTGATAAATGCAAGTTTGAATTTCTATAATCAGGGCAATCAACAGATTAAAAATGTATGGCGCTGGAGTAGGCTTCTTTGTTTCAGTTCATTTCTGCTGAAAAAACAGCAGCAGCTGGAGCAAAATTTAAAGTCTACTTATTGTGTCAAACTGTCAATTGGCCTGTAGGTGGAGTGTTGAATCGTCATAGCACCAGATTAGATGTGTTTCCAATTTTGAGTTGATAACCCAACCATTGTTATCATCTGTTTTCACTGAACCTGTGCTTCAATCAGCTGTTTTCTAAAAAATATATAAAAAAGAAAAAATAATGCAATGAACAATATCTTTGGCTATGCCCATATCTTTTGTTTATTTAGTTGATTTTTGCATCAACTTCAGTTGTTTAAAGTTTGAATCTTTGTAGCTGCATCAGGCCTACCGAACTTGGAGATGTATGCAGTGGATGAAGGAATAAAAGATGTTTCGGCAACAGCTGGATCACCATTTGATGCTTCCCTCTCTTCTCAGATTTCAGCAAACTCATTATCACCCACATATAAATTTATCGAAAAAAATAAATTGTCACCTACATATAAATCGAAGCACTCTATAATGAAAGAGACGACAGGACAACCTTTGAGCGTTGTTATTCCCAAGGGACCAACACAATGGTTAGAAGCAAATACGAATGATGCCATTGGCAAAACAAGTTGTTCAGACAGCGTCTCTAGTTCACATATTAGAGACGCTTCAGCTGAAACTGCGGGGCATCCAGCTGGGGAAGACCAGTACTATTGTAGTGGGTCCTCAAAGAAAATGAGAACTGATGAAAGTATCTCTTTAAATTCCATGTGCTCGGACACATTAGAAGCTGCAATTTTGGATTTGGAGGAACTTGTTAACAGGGTCAAATGGCTGAAGGGCATCTTAAATTTTGGAGTTCCCTTATCTCATGCTGGGAGGCCTTCATGGAAGTTTATGGAGCACCGTGCATCATCCAGACCAAAATGAGTGCTTCAAATAGTGTAAGCTTTCTTTTCCTTTTAAGATGTGATTTCTAAATAAATTGCAAGACCTATATGTACATAAATTTTGGTTGCTTTGGGAAACGTTGTTGTATTTGTCAGGAAAACACACATTACTGATATGGAGAATACATGATGTGTCCATGTCTTTTGTATACATGCACCTTGATTGTGTATTTTCTCCAGACCGTTAATATCTTTCAATATCTTCATTGTAATACCTGGAAGACTAGAATCACCATCTGTTTCAGCATTTTAGAGATATTTGCATAATATATATATATATATATATATTTCCAACAGTTAATATCTAAACAAAAGATCATTGTGCATTTCAAGTTGAATTACAGATTATGTGTAACTAGTGTCCCTTAACTACATATGCATCTGATCATATATGTAGTAACCATTATATATTAAAATAACAACAATTAATCTTTATCAGAAAACCTGCTAAAGACCATAACTATAGAGTACTTACTGCTGGTGCCATAGAGAGATTTGTTTTTAAATCTCGCATTAAAAAATCATGGCTATACTTAACAATAAAACACTCTAAAAAGCCCACGTATGATGAATTTTTTTTTTGTTGCCCTGGGAAAAATAAGTCCCACTCCTATTACACAGGAACTTGAAGTGAAACAAATTGTACTAAAGTAGAATTTAAGAATTTTTTATTCTTACTTATTCTGAGTCTTTCCTAAATACTTCAAATGTTCAAATCAAGAAGTCACAATTAGTCAAATAATATGACTAAATTACTAGTAAAAAGTAATTTATCAAAAAAAGAAAAAAAAGAAGTTACTAGTAAAAAGTGAGAACTTAGTTCTTAACTAATATATTTATGAAGATGCCAAAAATAAAATTTTCAATTATTATTGCAACAATTTGTATCTGTAGCTAGTTCATTCTGATATGAACCATAAGATCAACTAAGGTCAATAACTTGCCCTAATGAAATAAGTACTCACCTTTTAGTTAGTTTATTCCATAATGAACCAGTGCCCTATGGAATTGATTGATTTCCATTTCAATCAAAGACATTTATATGAAGGACTATATACCCGTCATTTTATAGAAATTTAAGTTAATTTTCTATTTTTTAAAAAAATAAAATTAATAAAAAATTATAGTACTTTCATTTATCAAGTCATGTATACTTTAATTACTAGTTTTATTTGAATTTGAAAAGTTCAATTAGGCGTTTTCTTTCCTCAGTTTTGACCAATTACTAGAAAATTATCCCCTCTTTTTAATGAAGAGGATGCTGTCTAAAAAACAAATAGGTAATAAATAGTAAAGAATGAGTCCTTTTGAACAATGTCTTTCACATCCAACTAGAATAATGAGTAACCTCTAGATTTTAAATGGCAGTTGGAAAAAAAAATGTACTAATATATAAAAAAAGCGTATTTGTAAAAATATTTGGAAAAGGAAAGGATATTGGGCAGCTTTAAATGCTTTTTTGTTAGGGAAATCTCTTTCATTAGGCAGTTCCCGATTGTCTACATCAATTAGAAAAGTGGCACTTCCATTTTTTATCATGAATCTAGGTGCCTTAATTGTTATTTGTCTTCACGTTGACAAATAGAGGGGAACATCTCTAATCTAAAGAAACAAACAAATATTACCAAGTTTTTGCTTTCTTCCTATGTTCTCAGTTGTTTGAATCCTTTATATTTTGTGTCTTGATGCTGTAAAATAATTAGATATAGAAAATATGAATGCCATGTATTATGCCTTGATTATCTATACTCATATATGGTCATGCTTTGATGTACATGACTTCTTATGTGTTCATGAAACAGATGCTATGAAAACATACTTAGACTTCTTTTTTTAAAATCCTATGATATGTTAACTTCTAGAGTTATTAGTTTTCTTTATTTGGTAGAGACATATATCACAATGAATGCTTGCTTGTTCAATTACTGTGTTGTGTGTGTAGTTAGCTTCCTATGTGCCAAAGCCGAAACTCGTCCCCTAGCTTTGTATTGAAAGCAAGAAAGGAATGCTTTTCCGTGCTTTGTTGGTGAGACCGAGTCTCTTACCGGCCTCTATTCTGTTTATGGGAAAGCACTTGTTTGTGCAGACCCGTGCTTATCTCCCAATTTCATGAGATAAATGCAAAATCACTATTCTTCATCAGTTGGGGATCTTCTTTTGAAGAAAGTCGAAAGATTTCAGTGGTTGGTTTTGGAGTAACTTTGTTTGGCCTAGTGTTCACTCTGTTCTCTTTGATGAAATTCTAGAATTGGGATATAATTTTTGAAAATTATTCTATGGTTTTTGTAGTGTAATTATTTGCAAGTATTGCACTGATAATTTCACCTGAAAATTTTGCACCAGTTTCAGCAACTGTGGTATCTGTACTTGTCTTCTTGCTTCTATTTTCTCTTCACGATGTTCACTGAACCCCACTTCTTGTGCTTTTGAGTTTGATGTTATATGCTGTAATGATTTAGTTTAGGGAATAATTTGAAAATGATGGAAGAACAAGTATTTGAAAATGAAGTACAAGTGGTTCACGCATAATTTTATGCAATAAAAACTTGTACCATCATCATTTTGAAATTATTCTTTCTACCCTCCACTTTTTTGATATTCCCCCTTTAATTTATATATGTTAATCACCACTCCAATGACCGTCTTCAATATGTTTTGTAATTGAATATAAATGAAATTATTTCAGGCCTCGAATAATATCTTGGATCTCCAGTCAAACAAGGGACGTATTCTCTTCTTCTTAGTGTGTGCTGATTGATATTCCTTCAACATTCTTATGTGATGCTTTTCCAATGTGAAGGAAGGTAAAAGTTTTAGTCCCTCCCATTCTCTTACCTGTTTCAAACGTACACGTAGGGACATAGAGGTTCAGACATTGTTGTCATTTTAGTGTGTTGCAGGAGGCTGGTGGATGCATTACTGTCTTACTGCAAGACGGTTTTTGTTGTGGTGGTGCAAACCTTACAGATATATGATCTTGTATGGAAAAAGCTAACACTCTGTAATATCTGCCATCTGATCTGCTAGGGTTCTATTTGTCCTAGTGCTAGCTCCAGTCAATTGGCTTTGTATTTTTTGTTTTTGTCGCTCCACGTGTATGTTCAAAATTGCAATGTTAGTTCTGAGGGGCTAGAGAAACTGACATGAAACTGACATTTCATTCCTTGGTCATAACTCTTTTGAGTGAACTTGTAAAAATCTTGCTTCTTGTGTTTTCATGTGGTGGTGGTGCTTTCCTTCTTCCCCACCTTTTCGCACAAATTTAATGAGTTTTTTTATTTTTATAAATAAAAAAAATTATAAAAATATATGATAAGCTGCACCAGCTCTGGTCAGTACATTCTTTTGTTTGGATGTCCACAATCTATTGGGGGTTGGCATTTTAGTGCCGGCTTGAAGGGATGCTGAAATCTCTCTCCAGTTTCAAAGCATATTACAGCACTGGGTGTTTGTTTAATACTGCCTATGAGAATTTTTATTTTTATTCCATTTACTTTTTTTTTTTAAATTCAATTTTTATTTATTTATTTAGACAAATTTAATGGAACGGATCATGTGCTCCACGAAGAGGTAAATTCAGATCACTGCATTCATTATGTACTTTCATTTTTTTTAGGACTTCGAAAGTGTGGGCCAAGAAATTTCTCAAAAAAATAAAAAAAAATAAAAATAAAAAAAATAATAATAAAAAAATTGTGTGTAAGTAAAAAAGAATCACTTTATAGTCGAGAGAAGATCAATATGAATTTTACATATTTTAATTATTATTTTTTTTTGGGAAAATACACATTCCCATGTTGAAAACTCCTGAACTCAGTTAATTATGGTACATTTCTTAAATTTAGCAATAATGCTACAGTGATAATCTTCAAATTATGAATGACACGTGAAATAGGTTGCACATTAAGTCGTATCTAAATTTTTTATCTTAGAAAAAAATAATATTGTACCTAAGCCTCCGTTTGGGAAGTGAGTTGGTTTTTTGGCTTTTTGACTTTTTTTGGCTATTTTAGCCTGGGCTAAAAAACTTGGTTTGGAAAGGGCTTTTTGGCTTTTTGGCTTTTTTGACTTTTTTTGTGAGAGAAGAATGTAATGATTATAGGTTGGATGTGATGTTTTGTTTGTTATGGCTAAAATAGCCTATTTTGTTTTTTGTGGCTAAAATAGTCAAAAAAAGCCTGAAAAAGCCCTTGCCAAACACAGGCTAAAGTTGATAATAATTATTTATATTTTATTTATTTATCTATCTATATTATTACAAATGTGAGTACTGGACTTGGTGTTCAAGTATTTAGTAGTTTCTCCTTTTGTCACGTATCTTTTATTTTTTAATTAAATCTAAATAAAACTCTTATTGCTTGACTAGTACATAATATTTAATAAATATTTTATTCGAGATTTGGATATTTGAATTGTATATCCTTTGCCGGTAACATTATCTCTTGTACAAGAGAGGGTTTAGGATTTCGCAATACACGCGAAATCACCAGTCTCCCATCCCTCACGGTATGACTCCCGCACCCTCAAATTGGTCACTTAAAGACTTGATCTTTATATCATAGAATCAATGTGGGATCTCCCTTCCCTCTATTGCTGCAATGGCAATTCAGAGATTTGTTTCATCGAGACATATCAATCAATGGATTGTGATTCATCGTAATTGTGTTCCTTTCTTTTTTTAAAAAGGTTTTGTAAGGAAGCTAGGGTTGTTTCTTTCATGTAATCGATTTTATCGAGGAGGTGTTTGATGAAATGGGAAGCTGATTTCAGTGTAGGATGGCTGGGTGGTGATTGAGCTCATGAGTCAATTTGGGTGTGTGTAACTCTCAGCCTTGGCAATACATGATTTCAACAGAACAAAGCACAAGGGATTGAGGCTAAGAGAAGAAAGTAACACAGAGACAATACATCGAAGGATTTAAAGAAAAAAATAATAAAAAAAAATATTTAAGCTACTCGATTAAAAGTTCAATTTTAAAACTTTTGGATCATAAGATAAAAATAATTTGAAAAATTATCACTTCTATTATTTATTTTCTATTATCGTCGTTGCTCGCTGTTGGTTGTGGTAGTGGTGGTTGCAGTGTGAAACCATGAAAATCCTCTCACATGGATTGCAGAGATTCAACGAAGAGATGAGCTTTGTCCCTGTAGATCTGCAAAGATGAACATAGTCGGCGCTACCCAATCGGGGTTGTCGGCCAGAGACACTTCGTTGTAAGGAATTGCCGAGTGGAGCAAGTTGCCGAGTGGAGCAAGTTGAAGCAGATTGTTAAGTTGATTTCTTACCCTTGAGCTAGTATAAATCATGGTTGTACCAAGTCGGAGTAAGCTAGTACTATATTGTATATAACGTATATTTGCCCCATTGCTTGCGAATAAGATTTGTTGTTCGGAAGGAATAAAATTGATTTTGGCCAAAATACTTAATGTGGTCCGTTTTGCAACTATTGGCGAACTTTGGTTACTTCTTGGCTCCTTGGATTGGTGGGGTTGGAGTCTTTTAGTTGATATGAATCCTCAGGTATATTCGGATGTTGATTTTGTCACCTCCAAAATGTTGACAAATTTGAAGTAGAAATGCTAGTTTGATGACGAGACAGTAGCGCTGATCAATATTCCTGCACTTTCGAGAATTAAATCATGAGATTGTTATAGAAGAGATAGATGAATTAATAATTTTAAATGTACTCGAGCTATTGTGTCTTTCTTCTTCTTCTTTTTTTTTTAATATTATTTTTAAGATGACAAATGGTGTGAAGCCGAATGTAAAATAAATTCAAGTTGTGGGTCTTACCCCAGGTGGCGGTCGATGACTGAGAGATGAATGACTAATCAGTGAAGATGGATGATTGTGGCCTAGCTCCAGGAGCCTGTTGTCAAAATTGCATGCTGATCAGACACAATCTAACTGTTGATATATCATTTAATGTTCTCGATTGGTCGGTTTATTGATCCCAATACGAGACTTAGAATTGGCAAAATTGGACCCTAAAAATGAATTCTAAACGGTGAAAAATGCGAGGGTAGACATCCTTGAAGGTATCGAACCACCCAATTAACTCGAACGCGCCAAGATGTAACGGAGCACCTTACGCCGAAAAGCGCACAATAAATCCTAATGCCATCTTCTTCATGCAGCAGGTCGTGAAATGCATAATTTTTAGGTTCAAACTCCTGACTTTGAGCCCTTGTATCTCCCTTGTTATAAGTTTGATTGGCTTAATTTTTGCAGCGTCGGATTCATGTCTCGACCTAGTATTCATTCCATCATTCAGACGCCTCATTCCATTTTTGTTTGGATGCCGTCGTATCTCTAAAAGTTGACCAAAAATAAGATTGTTCTAGTAATTATTATTATTATTTTCTGGATTGTCCTCTGCTAAAGTGTGGTCAGTGGAAGAATGTGCTTGATGGGGGAATATGCTCAGCAAAAGAGTTTGGTGTTACACATTGTTGAATATGCACTCGATGACGAATAATTGAGGCTGTTCTCGCTGCCAAAGAATAGAGCTTGGGGTTATAGGGCTATCGAGTAGTTGTGTAGCTTTGCCGAGCAATTTGCTATGAGTCGTGACACTGTCGAAATACATATGCATGGGCTCGAACGCCGAATATAAATAGGGGCTGTAATGCTGCCGATCAGCCTTGTTGAGTTGCCGACCAGCTTCATTTGTTTTTAAACACATGAACGTAATGGCCTATGAACTTCGGGCTTTCGTTTTTGTGGATGAGTTTGATGATCAACCCCGACCACTGACTGCTCGGGTTCAAGTTTCTTGTTGAGTGATGTTGCTGATGAGCTTTCTAGAGAGAGAATCTAGGCCCAGACTTGGGTCTTCTTGTTCTTCGACTACACATGGTAATGGTGTTGTCAAACTGCTTTGCGGTCGGTAAGTGGATCAATTGTGTTGACATTACTTCGGTTTCCACGACCATCCTCTTGGTGCTTGCCGAGCTTGACCTAACTATATATTGGTGCCGATCGACACTCCTCTTAGCTTGCCGAAACACGACATCTGTTAGTTTCTTAGCTTGCTGAAACAATTGGTCAGCAGTCGGCCATCAGAGAGATGGTTACTGAACTCTATTTGTGAACATCTTCTAGCAAGGCATAATATTTTTAATTAAATTGAAGGTTATAGGCATATATGTATATAGAAATCATACTAAAGACAATAGTTATTCAAAGAGAAAAGAATAGAGGTTCCATTTTAGAAGCAGGTTTCCCTGGGATCGTGCTTATGCGGCATGTCGTGTGATTGAGTAACAAACCGAGGAATGATGGGTTGTGGTCGGAGTTGTTGAATTATTGTTGATCGGATTGGAACTCGGCAAGAGATTGGTTGCCGATCAATTTGTGGCAGCGATGAAGGATCGGAGAAGCCGAGGAAATTGGGTACAAACCTTGTGGATTGTTCATATCCATAGATCTTCCAGTGTACCCATTTGCTGTGTAGAAGTCCGGAGCTCCGCCGAAGAACCCAGACGTTTTTTCCGGCGAGGGGTCTTGGCGAATTCGGAGCGCTCAAGTTTTGTGACTTTGCTTTCGCGGTATCTTCGCCACGATGGTCTTATGTGTTTTTGGCACATAACTCCTTGATCACCCTAGGTGAGAGTTACTCAGTGTAGACGTCCCCGAACGTCCTGGGAAGGAAATCCCGTTCTGTTTATTTAGGCTCACTACAGTTCAGACTCAATGTCACGGTCCTGTATCTAATCTCGCAGAGTGCAATGCAAGACTGATGAATCACAAAAGAGTCCAAATACGGCAAATCGTTTTTGAAAACTGATTTTTAAGAAAGAAGTGCCAAACATGGACTACTTTGCCAGATACAGAGTCGCCACCTAAATGTTTTATTTTGAAAAATTTAGGAAACCCTGACTCGTTGCCTAAGGCCACATGTCCTTCATCACCAAAGTTGCCTCGACTCGGGAACTTGTGTACGATTGGAGAAGGTCACTTCGTGAGCACCCCCGCTCACCCGATCAAAGATCGGCCTCTACTAACCATGATATCAAGTTTTGAAAACATATGTGTTCTTATTCTGGTTTATTAGCCTAGAATTACTATGTGATGCGCGCAGCATACAAGTATAGACCGGATCGCCTGAATTGGAACAAAACATTTCAAGTTTGTTTTTGAAAGCGGTTTGCTACTCGCAAGTAGCCTTAAAATGCAGATTTTGCCACCCTCGGGTGGGCTTAGAAAACATGGTTTTGCCACTATCTAGTGGGCTTAAAACTTGCAATCAATGAATTGTTCCAATCCAAGTAATCCAACCTTCACTCACAGGCATTCAAGC